ATTTAAAAAATTTTATTTTTATAGTCATTGAGCCATTTGTATCATTCACATCACTGACTGTATTTAATCGTATTTTATTTAAATACTTTGCATAATTTTTTTTTTAACTAATTTGTAATCAATTAACGAAACCGGGATCATGTGTCCCATTCAACTTTAATTTATTATCAATGAGCATTCTTACTTTTGTGATTTTTAGTTTTTTCTTTCTTCATTCATTTCTACCTCCAGTGTTGAGTTAGTTCCAACTGTCACTGCTTCTCTTCTACCCATTTTTTTAAACCAACACATATCCTCTGGGTGGTATCTCATACCTTCGTTTAGCTTTTCGCAATTTCTACAAGGTCTTCTCGCTTCAAACTTTTTTTTATTTTCAGTTTCTCGTAAAACTATTTCTATTATCCAAGCTTCATGTAATAATTTAGTTGTATTTTCAGTTTGAGGCTGATTTCGTGCTGAGCGTGCTCAATGAGTAATCCATTCGCGTTCAGTCGAGAAGAGCCGCGCGCTATGTGGCGACAATTCACACTTCTCCTCGCACTGTAATCATTTAGTATAGGTCGAGGACCCGTGCGTACAGTCGAGGAGACTTGTGAGTCCCGCAGACTCGCGTAGAGCCAAGACGACTCGCGCAGCTCGCGTGTGTGTAACCAGTGCTTTCTGCTACATGTTAAAATGGCGAGCTGACTCACGCTGCCTTTAACCTCTCTTTCTTGAATGTAAATATATTTACACGAGATAGAAATGTCATTTTTAAATCATGTTCACACCGAACACGATGGCTGTAAAAGTGAAGCAGTAGAAACTGAATAATAGAAAGAAATACAGCGTGTCCGATGTTATACCGACTCTACTCATCAAGACACTAGGAAAAGCAGTATATTTAGATTCAAGACATATGTATATACAGTATGTACACAAGAGCCTAAAACTAAGGACAAAGTTACATTTTTTAGTTTAGAGTGCTATAAAGAAATTAAATGGAAGATATCAATTATGCATGATATAGTTCTCAAAACGAGCTCTTATGCATAAAAATCTTTTATACATCAATGGCTGGTGTAGCGCTGAAGGCACCGTGGCCGCGTAGCGAAGCGACCAGCCCTTGATATGTAAATAACTATTTCACACTTTTTTCGGTCTATTGTATTTCATATGTACTCCGATAATCCAGCTGCTAAAAACATCACCTAATGTATTCTCATCCATATCCAAAAGTAACTTTTCTTTTAATGCATATTCCATATAAGATACCACTTTGAATCTATATGTAATTGCATACATCGGATTACTCTATCCTTTATCGGCAATGCTTTATAAAATTATCTTTCCACTCACGCCAGTCAGACTCAATAGATAGGACTGTTATCATTGATGCGTGCTATTCAAGACATGATCGATCTAATTTGTGTAATCTTACACAATCCATTTAATCTCTTTTAATTGTTATTAATGTATATTATATAATGTACATTATATAACCATGGCGGGATTAATTGGTTACAAAATGTAAAAATAATATTTAATCTGACCCGATATTCGCTGTGTTTGGTCTACTTTGAAACGACATGCGCACAACATTCACATACACACTCACCTAAAGGAACTATAATTCTTTTATATTATTGTATGCTACGCCGTAACAACATGTTATTCCCACTAACGCCGAGACCCCTGCGTGCGTCCCCACTCAAACGTCGTGCACTGCTGCACTCGTCCCCACCTCGCGGCATCAGCCAATCAGCGCGCACTCGCTTCCTATATAAGCGAGGCGCCTGGCCACGCAAACGGAAGTCGTCTCTCGGCTACCAGCCAGAGCACATCTACTCTCGTCCTCGCGTTCACGGCGACGAGCTCTTGAGAGTTGCGACCTAGGGACTTCATTCAATAGTGAACTTGGTCTAATTTGCAAAAAACATATTCGCCTTGTCATTTCACAACCTTTCCCCACTTTTTACTTTTGCAAGTTTCCGACTCGGCCGCCAGGTGACTTGACGCCAGAAAAAAGTCGTATTCGCATGAGAAAAGGTCGAGTTTAGAGTACTAGTATAAGTGCCTTTCGACCTTATTCAATCAGCTTTTGACTGTTTGACTTGTTGCAAGTGAGAATAGAAAAGTGATTGGACTTTTGTCTTTTGACTTTTGACTGTTCGCTTTAGAAGTTGGACAGAAAAGTGATCGGCATTTGTGTCACTCCCCTCTCACGAGTCATGTGACAGCCAAGCAGCCTGAGCCGACAACGGCATCATCGTCCATCCGACCATCCCTTCCATGACGGTCAACATCGGTCATAGCTGGTCACCACTGGTCACAGCCAGTCCTTCTGCACAAATCAACAGCCTGCATCAAAACTAGTCCTTCTCAGGACTAAACGTAGAGTTTGCAAAACTTGTAAACTAAGGGGCAGCAAATAACATCGACCCTCTTCAGGGTCACTTGTTATACATCAGTCTGGTAACTGTCAAGCGTATTTCCGCTCTGACTGATTAAACGTGTACAATGTCGGCAAAACTCTGCAAAAACTCGCAGACTCGCTCAAAATCGTCCTCTCCGCAACCCATTGTACAACAAACAGTAGCGCTCACTATTTGTTTATTTATATAATATGTAAACAAGCCGCTAGGGGGCGAGCTTGAAAAAAGCTCGCAACCCAAAAACGAACGGTGGCTGAAAATGCTTATTATCCGAGTCGAAATAAAGTTTTTTCATGATCCAGGTTAAACTCGACTTTGCCCTTCTTATTCGAAAAGCATTAATAGCCACTCTAACTGAGTAATAAGTTCATTGCTTAATATTTTAAAAGACGGCTAAGGAGGAGAGTAACCGATAGAGTTCGTAAGATCGACAGAAAGTAGCCATCGCAAACCACTTCTAACAGACGGACAAACTCTCTTATGCCGAAGACGGACGCACAGAGAGAACGTCGTCGTGTACAGCAACAACTGTGACCGCGACCAGAATTCCCACAATTCTGATCGCTTAGCCCTTTTTGAACAAAAAGTTCTTTTCAGAGCTACTTATTCAAAAAAAAAAAAAACAAACGGACTCGAATATTGTTATCGTACTATAACACTTTGGTGACCTTGCAATTGTAAAACGGACGTTTTACCTTCGCGTCATCGCGACGCAGCGTACACGAGGAAGGCTTGGCGTCATGAAACACAATGTAAAGCCCACTATGAAACGTGATGTGAACTGCGCCGTAGGAGGGCGCTCATGCCTAACTGAACCAAATACGTACATCACGAAACGTAGTGTATTTTTGAGTGCTTTACGTTTTGTTATGTACTCGCGAAGGAGCACTACATTTCACATCACGCAACACGTGCGAAGACGTAGGATATGTTTAATAAAAGATGAACGTTTAATGCAAGATAAATAAAATTAATAAAGTTTACAAAGTTTTTTATTTAAGGGGACACACCTGTATTTATGCCAATACACTTTTTTAATAGCTGTACGAAGTTCAAAAATGATTCTTGAAGTACTGGTGGCGGATAAAAATCACCTATTATAAGTATAGAATATATTCTGTATATACTAGAATATAGTAATATAGAATATAGTAGAATACAGTAGAATATTTAGTATTACAGAATATAGTAGAATACAGTAGAATATAGTCTACTATAAAATATCTATGTATACATTAAAAAACGCACGACGTGAAAAAAGCAACGATTCTGACTTTAGGACAGCTAACGGAGCGGATATTTGTCATGGTTATACTACTGTAGTAAGTGCTGGTGTTGAATTTTGAAATTTTTTCGGTGAGGATTTGTTAAGTGCACTCATTAAAAGACAACTACATCACGAGATTTTTAGTTTTTTTTGAAAATCTCGTTTTTATTGATGAATTGGGAGTATAAACCAAATATGGATTTAAAGAGGACAAGAATTCCAAGAAATCAAAAAAAAATCGTGTCGTGATACGATCAGTCCAGGAGCCACTATAGGTGTAGGGTATCCCGTAAGACACTATAGGTAGATGATTAGAATAAGGTGTTATCGATGGATTTTGACTCGCTGAACTCAAATTTGGTGGTTAATGTTGGCTGCAAGTGGTACCATGTGGTTAAAAACCCATTTGTTTAAAAAAATTACTAAAATGGTCGAATAAGGATTTTTAAACATCATATTCGTATTCTAAGAAAAATTTTAAGAAAAAAATGTCCCTTGTGATTTTTCTCTAAAATGCATATTATCGTTACGTAATCCTCAGAAATCTTAAAAAAAACTACAAGACTTTGCATAGAGATGTCCAAAGAATAATAAAAAGCGCTCACATCATCGAAAATATTGTTTTTCATGTTATTACACGCAATCGAATAATCACGAAATTAGCGTTATTCTCATTTTCATTGGCTTATAACTCGATAAATATGCATTTTAGAGAAAAATCACAAGGAACATTTTTCTCAAAAAATTTTTGGTAGAACACGAACATGATGTTTAAAGATCCATATTCGACCATTTTGGTAATTTAATTAAACAAATGGATTTTAGACCATATGGTACCACTCAGAGCTAAAATTAACCACCAAATTCGTGCGTCAAAATTGATCGATAACACCGTATTCTAACCATTCACCTACAGTTTTCTACGGGAAGGTATCTTGCTCCCGGACTAGATAAACATAGCCAAAAATGTATTTTCCTACAGACTATTTTTTTTTAATTTTTCATCAATAAAATACTTGACCGTTTTATTACTAAAAATATCATTATTTTTTTTATTTAAGTGTTAAACTTAATCGGGGGGTTGGCGAGCGGAGCGAGCAGGGGGGCGGAGCCCCCCTAGTATTATATTATGATTATAATGTAATTGATGCAATGATTGTCATTTTAATTAAAATAGTCGAAAGCTTGTTTCATTATTTTTCAAAATTAGTTGGATATTTTATAGCTAGATATTCTCAAGCAATAAAATTATTTAAAACTATGGTCATCATCATAGCTTTACGTCAATTTTTAGAGTTTTAAAATGTGATTGTACTCACAAAATGGTAAAAAACATAATACATTGTAACTGCCTTTCTTTTCGTCTTCGAGAATAAAATTTATGTGTATCTTTAGCATAAAACGGAATCCCAGTTGCAGCTCCAAAACTTGGACTTGAAGGGGCCAGTGGGGATGATTCGGTCAACATCTTCTTTGATTTTTGGTGAAAGTCAATAAATCTGCAATTATAAATATATTTGATGATTTTTTAATGCAAATTGAAAAGCATTACAAAATAAAAAATATGATTTCTGATAAACTCAAATAAACTCATCATTTAGATTGAAAAATTATCTCAACTATTTCAGAGACCCAGATTTGTGTTTTTCTTAGGGGTTCGAAAGACCTCTGAAAAAGGGTAATAGACTATTTGAAAAATTCTAGAAAATTCAAACAGATTCTATGAAAAATTAAAAAAAATCTTAAAATTTTTTGAAAGTAAAGAAAGTATATAGTACGCCTTTAAAAAATCGGCCCTAAGACCCATAACCGATTATTAGATACCAGAAGACCCTAAAAAGTTTTGGAGCATATACATGACCCTGAATGCAGGTAGTCTTCTTGTTGGTGAATTTTTTCTATGAGGTGGTGGCATTTTAATATCCACTTTATTAATAAACGATATTTATACTATTGGACGTCTACAGAGTGATAGATACGTGCCGAGAGTCAAAAGGACATCCGATGAAGTTGATACTCAAACACGAGGTTGACTGAAGAGAGGGCAAAGGAGATATCGGCACTCCAGCAACGGAGTCTCGCACCGGGATATTCTCCCGTGAACGATGCAACGGCGACAAGTGACTATGATATCCTCGTTCGAAGGAAAGTTCTATAACTAGTCCAGAGACTAAGTTCAATAATTAGCCCAGAGACTAAGCTCGCAAAGAACTTCAGAGACTAATTTTGCTAATCGCTTTCGAGACTAACAAGGAGGCCACATGAGATGCGGGTCACCAAATGTCCTGAAAATTTTTTTCTGGTCTCCTGGTATCTAATAATAAAGCCCTCTATGCTTAGTTTGATCCGATGGGCCTTAGGGCCCATTTTAAAAATCATTTTCTAGTTTATTGAAAAATCTTTGTGATTTTCTAACTCGTAATAGGACATTTTAAACGGAAAATTGCACAATGTACAAGTCTCAGAATTAGTCAAAGAATACATTTGAATTTTTTCAGAATTTTCGAGACCTGCTATCACCTATTTTCAAAGGCCCAAATTTAATTTTTTACTTTTTTCTTAAGAATTTCAGAGACCTTTGAAAATAAGTGATTGTAGGTTTCAAAAATTCTGAAAAAATTCAAATGTATTCTTTGACTAATTCTGAGACTTGTAAATTGTGCAATTTTCCGTTTAAAATGTCCTATTACGAGTTAGAAAATCACAAAGATTTTTCAATAAACTAGAAAATGATTTTTAAAATGGGCCCTAAGGCCCATTGGATCATACTAAGCATAGAGGGCTTTATTATTAGATACTAGGAGACCAGAAAAAAATTTTCACGACATTTCGTGACCCGCACCTCATGTGGTCTCCTTGTAAGTTGATTAACTAATTCTGCGGTTGAGTCCTTCATAGATATTCTCCTAACAAAGTCTAGATCTAGTAGAGGTTCATCAATATAGCCGTTTCGCCAGTTAATTAGCCGGGAACTATGGTGGTGCTCAAGTGGTTGTTCAAGAATGAATGATAACGCAGCGAAGGGTCGCACTTAATAAATACTCGTTGGGACGTCGGCAACGCGAGGGAGAAAGAAAGGATAGTCGACGGACGGGTGATCAGGCTGCTGGTTCAGATAGCTCAAACGCGTTGGGAAAAGGGGAGCGCCATTGGCCGTTGCAGTAGGCGGGGCAAAGGCCACTTTAATGCTGCCACAGGGTTCAGCCTGCTCGTCCGGACCTACACCCGGTGGTGCTGTTTTATCCATTAATAGCTCTACGGGTTCACGCGCGCTCGCAGCGATACGAGACGGTCGGTTGTGCTAGTGCTTTGCGGTGCCCTTTGATCCGAGCGTGTGCGTGTCGGCGGAATCCTTTCATCTACCTACGTGTTTAAGCGCGCTCGCGGTGACATGTGTGGCTCTTTGTTGGTGCACATTTTATAGTGGTATTGCCCTTCGTGCCTGCCTCCTACTGTATCGACCCTCGGTTTTACCCACTGTCGTTAAAACAGGTTGCGTATGATGTACGAGGTTGCGTGTCGCGCTGGCTTTCGCGCATGCGTTGTGCTAACGAGGCGGTCAGTACATTACACTCCCCATTGCTCCACAATGTTCCCCCACACGGGAGAGCTAATATTGTAAACATTATTATTTTTCTTAAAGTAGAATGGAAATACATATAGAATTGGGGAATTCGAACCGTTGAATTCACTGAATAACTAAAGAAAGGGATTATTCACCAAAATTGTTGAACTAGCCAAGCTTTAAAAAATGATCAAACTCTTGACATATGGAATTGAAAATTCATTAATAAATCGTTGAATGCACTACTTAACTGCGAGAAGGGGAAGTTCACCGAAATTTTTGGGGTAGCCAAAGTTTTTAGAAAATTGATAAATACTTCACGCATATAAGATTGGGAAATTCGTTCTAAAAAACCGTGGAATTTCCTGCTTAAATTTGCGAGAGGATACTTCACAAACATTGTGAGAATAGCGACGTTATTGAAAAGTTTTTCAATAAAATGATTAGTATTTGAATCGAAACATTCATTTCAACAAAAAATTGAATTTACTTTTCCAACTGTATGAAAAGAAAAATTTGTCAAAATTGTGAGAGGAGTCAAAGTTATTAAAAAATTGTTATTTGTATTACACGGGATCTGAAAATTTATTTTATAAAAAAAACCAATGAGTTACTTTTTAATTGACAATTGTTTTTTTCAATTTTTTAATGTCACAGGTATAAATTGTACTATACATTTAATTTTTAAATACAGGAGTTCCTCGCTATACGCGGGGGTTACGTTCCTCAAAAGTACCGCGTATAACAAAACCGTGGATAATAAGACCTTACTCTTATGAGAAAGAGAGGGTTACGTTCCTCAACCTTGAGAAAGCGTAGTTTATATAAACATTTTACCTACAAATAAACGCATTTGTTGAGTAGTTTATCTATTCATATATGTTTATTTGAGCTAAGCCATAGTTAGCGTGATGGTAAAAAAAAATTTTTTTCTCAAATTATGTACTTTTAAAGAGTACATTGAAAAGTGAAAATCCTGAAAGTTTCAGCTCTCTGGGTCCAACCGTATTAGATTTTCAGGGTCTTTAAGTTGAATTTTCTTTTTCTGTCCATATTCTGCTTGCAATTCTGATTTTCTGGGGTTAATATGAAAAAATTGTTGAATCATGGTTTTTAATGTAAAATTTGATGTAGAATTCAAATTTGTACTTAAAAATCATATTAAGACGTGGAGTCCCCATAAAAATGATATTTTCATGCATTAATCATGTCACTGTGCAAAAATAAACATGTTTGTATCCAGCGATATGGCCAATATTGTAATATGTTCATCGATACATCAAATTACAACTTCTGATAAATTTTGGTTATCGGCAGACAAACAGAATTCATTATTGAGCTTAATATAAGTCAAAAATCAAGGAAAATGAGAGAAAAACCATGTTTCTTCCTTCCAGGGATTCCGCGTGGATCGATCATTAGAAAAAAATGCAATCGTCGTGGATTTTAAACTGATCCACGTTGATTTTTGTTCAATCCTCGTGGATTTCGGACTTGTTCGCGAGAACGCTCGAAGGATCCGCGAGGTTTCGTCAGTGAATCGTCATGGATTTTGAACTGATCCGCGAGGATAATTGAATAACCCTGCTGTAAAAAATCAGGTGAAAATTCAGGTAAATTATCAGGTGAAAATCCTGCCAAATCGTCTTTCTTCAGGTAGTTGAATTTTTCATGTGAGAATATCATCTGCGTAGCCTACTTTTGGATCCAGGTCAGAACTGAACTTCGCGATGACTTTCTTCGGGTACTCGCAATCATCAAAAAATCACGACTACCCGAAGGAAGTCATCGCCGAGTCCGGATCCTAACCTAGTACCCATCCAGTCCCAGCCCGAGGTTATGACCGTAACCATTGATGTTCTGAAGAAGCGTACGCGACCCTGGTTCTCCAACTCAATCGGTACGCTCTGAATTTTACGACAACTGAGGTGCACTTTGTAAAAACGTGAAACGCCAGAAAACGCAAAAGAAGAAAAAATTTAAAACGCAAAGTATACGAAAATGGCTCACGGAAACAGCTGTTTCTCACTGAATGATCAAAATTTTGAAGTTTCAAAAAATGCAATGGAAAGGGGACAAAAAATCCTACTCAAAAATGAAATAAAAATTTTTTCGATTTTAAGCCCCCTTTGAGCCCTTAATGTCTTACATATGCCTAAAAATAAATCCTAAAAAAATTTTAGTCTATTTAAATAATTTTTACTGATCACTCAACGAGCATTTTGCTTTTCGATTTAAATAAGATTTGACAATCTATTTTATCTCTTTGAATGTTTGATCCTACCCCAAAAAAATTGGACAACTATGAGTAACACGTATTTCGATGCAACATTCTGAGAAATTTAGGAGCTACCGGAACGAAATTTAAGCCAAAATTTTGCAACAGTTACTCCAAAAAAAATGAGCGTAAATTTCGTTCCGGTAGCTTCTATAAATTTCGCAGAATGTTGTAAAAAGTGAAGAAAAACGTGATTTTTCGAGAACCTGAAGCGGAATAACTGAATTTTAGACTACAAAAATGCATCCCACAAAAACAGCTGTATCTCGACGAAATTAAGGCTGTTTCGAAATCGAAACATGGCATTGTAAAGGTGACACAAAAACCTATAAAACATTGCATTGACATTTTTTCAATAGGTTTTTAAAGCTACAGTAAGTTTCAATACTCTTCGAAATTATTTACATGAAAAAAAGACCTATCATCTTTGTTTATATTTATTTGTAAAAGTGGAATAATTTTTGCATATACTTTGAAATCAATATTGAACGTAGAATTTCACAGAATAGAACAATGTTCGCGTTGATAAAACTCGAGAAAAGGCTCATGTATCATAAATTTTACTAGGTTCTAAAAAATAACGAAAGTAATCATAATGAAAAATTGTAATAATTAGATACACTTTTTGAATATTGTTTTGAACGAATGCATTGTTA